CTTTTTTTTTCTTTTTTTTATATTTATTTTTTTATTTTTTTATCCTCACCCGAGGACATTTTCGATATTTTGTTCAGATAGAGTGGGAGGGAGAGAGAGAGAGAGAAACATCGACGTGAAAGCGACACATCGAGTGGTTGCCACCCACACGACCCAACCAGGGCCGGGGACAAACTGCAACCAAGGTACGTGCCCTTAGTGGGATCCGAACCCGGGTCTCTCGGACCGCAGGCCAACGCTCTAACCGCTGAGCCAAACCGGCCAGGGCATATCTAGGATAATTCTAAGCATCAAAAAGAATAATGGTGATAATGAATTGTAACACACTGAATAAGAAATAATTTGAGTCTACACTGATATAAAATAAGTTTTTAATGGGGGAAACAAGAAAAGAGAAACAATTTTTTACAGAATAATGCTAATTAATAAATGTAAAAGGAGTAACAGATACCATTAATATTAGTAGACAGGCAAGAATCAATGAATGCCAAGTCTATTGAGTGAAAGATTATTAGGAAGCAGGGTATTCAGTTTCAAAGAATAACCTCAGAGATTATGTATTAATTACAAAAGGCAAAGGCATCTTTGCAACAAAAAAATCTGGCAGATACTACCTTAATCATATGTTCACATGAGTAATAATGGAATAATCAGACATCATGTGCCACCTGCTTTGATTCACTGTGAACGACAAAATGTCATATACATAGTACTCCTACCAAAAATATATAACCTAAATTTACTCTGGTAACAATCACATGAATCTAAATTGAGAACTAGTCTACAAAACAAGTGGCCTGGACTATTAAGAAAAGGCAACATTATACACACACTAAAAAGTTAGAGATCAGTTTTAGATTTTAAGTGTCTAAATTGATATGATAATCAGATGATCCTTGATTGGAACCTACACTGAAACATTTAAAAGCTATAATGGGCATTATTGGGACAACTGGGGAATTCTGAATACAAATAGTATTGAATCAATGATACATTTTCTGAATAATTGCAACGAGAATTCTTTGTTTTTAGGTGATAAATGTTGAGGCATTAATGGTTAAAGTGCTATGATATTTGCAACTAATTCTCACATGATTTAGGAATAAATAAGTAAATAAATAAAACAAAAAAACACAAATGACCAGCTCTGCTGAAGTCTGGCAGCTAACAGTGTGCAATTTTTTTTAACCTCATCCAAGGACATTTTTTCATTTTTTGTTCAACTAGAGTGGGAGAGAGGGAGAGGGAGAGGGAGGGGGAGGGGGAGGGGGAGGGGGAGGGGGGAGAGAGAGAGAGACATCTATGTGAAAGGGACACATCGAGTGGCTGCCTCCTACATGACCCAACCAGGGCTGGGGACAAACTGCAACCAAGGTACGTGCCCTTAGCGGAAACCGAACCCGGGTCTCTCTGGACCGCAGGCTGCTGCTCTAGCCACTGAGCCAAACCAGCCAGGGCTTGATCTCTTTTCTGAGATTTTGTTAATCTCATTTTTTCCTTTTTTTTTAAATTGAATTTATTGGGGTTATTGGTTAATAAAGTCATATAGGTTTAAGGTGTACAGCTATATAATACATCATCTGTATATTGTATTGCGTGTTCGCCACTCAAAGTCATGTCTCTTCATCACCATTTATTCCCCCTTTACCTTCTCCTGACTCCCCTCCCACTTCCCTCTGTTATCAAAAAAGTATTAATGCCTAGAAGAGGTAGCAAATAATACATTCTCTATATACATGTAAAAGTTTTTCACTTTTACTTTAAAGGTGTTGCCATAAAATTTTTTTAAATAAGCCCTGCCCAGCTGGTGTAACTCAGTGGTTGAGCATTGACTCATGGACCAAGAGGTCACCAGTTTGATTCCTGGTCAGGGCACATGCCTGGGTTGTAGGCTTGATCCCCAGTGGGGTGCATGCAAGAGGCAGCCAACTGATGGGTCTCTCTCATTGATGTTTCTATCTCTTTCTCTCTCTCTCTCTAAAAATCAATAAAAGTATATTAAAAAAAAAAAAAAAAAAAAAAAAGACCTGGCTGGAGTTGCTCTATGGTTAGAGAGTTACCCCATGCACCAAAGGGTCTGGGGTTTGACTCCCAGTCAAGGGCACATAGCTGGGTTGTAGATTCGATCCCCGACCCAGGTCAGGGGCATGCGGGAGGCAACCAATCAATGTGTCCCTCTCACATTGATGTTTCTTTCTCTCTCTCTCTCTCTCTCTCTCTCTCTCTCTCCCTCCCTCCCTCCCTCCCTCCCTTCCATTCTCTCTCTAAAAAAAATAAAAAATCAATGGGAAAAATATCCTCAGGTGAGGATTAACAACAAAAAATAATAAATAAATATAAATAAATAAAAAGAATATCATCTCAAAGAAGTTGAAAGAATATCTAATTCTGCCCTGGCCAGCCTGTGGTCCAGAGAAACCTGGGTTCAGTTCCCGCTAAGGGCTCATACCTTGGTTGTGGTTTGTCCCTGGCCCTGGTTGGGTCATGCAGGAGGCAGCCACTCGATGTGTCCCTTTCACATCGATGTTTCTCTCTCTCTCTCTCTTTCTTCCTCTCTTTCCCTCCCACTCTATCTGAACAAAAAATGGAAAAATGTCCTCAGGTTAGAATAAAAAAAATTAAAAAAAAAAAAAATATCTAATTCTATTTGACTGTTAGCTAAATAGCATTTCTTTCTTTCTTTCTTTTTTTTTTTTATCAAAAAGAATGATAGTAAAGTTATTTCCAGTATTCTGTACCTTATAAAGGTGAAATATTTGAATTTTAAAAAATAGTTATCATCTAAGACCAACGCTTAATACATTTTAATAAAGAAGAATTAGAAATAAACTACCTTTGGATATTTTATTGATTCAGAAAGAAAGTAAGTTACAGTTGCAGACCACACTGAAAAGAAAGTAGACTACTACTTCTGTTAAACACTATACCTAAGAAAATATGATGAAGAAAATGATGGAGCGAAGCTAATTGCTACATTGTAAGTAAAAATGTCCATTGTGGCCTCTTCTATTCTAAATGATTCCTTAGTGCCATATACAAGTAACCATTGGGGTTAAATAATTATTTCAAGCAGACTACACATTTGTAGTTTCTTATAAGCAAAAACTAGTTTAGCTTTTTTTTTTTTAATCCTCACCCGAGGATATTTTTCCATTTTTTGTACAGATGGAGTGGGAGGGAGAGAGAGGAAGGGAGAGAGAGAGAGAAACATCGACGTGAAGGGACACATCGAGTGGCTGCCACCCGCACGACCAACCAGGGCCGGGGACAAACTGCAACCGAAGTACGTGCCCTTAGTGGGAACCGAACCCGGGTCTCTCCGGACCGCAGGCCGACGCTCTAACCGCTGAGTCAAACTGGCCAGGGCTAGTTTAGCTTTTTAATTGTAGTAAATTCTATATATATATAGCTTTTTTTTTTTTAAAGCCTCACCCAAAGATATTTTTCCATTTATTTTCAGACAGAGTGGGAGGGAGGGAAAGGGAGAGAGAGAAAGAGAGAGAGAGAGAGAGAGAGAGAGAGAGAAACATCAATTCGAGAGAGATACATCAATTGGTTACCTCCTGCATGACCCCAAACAGGGCAAGGACTTCAACTGAGGTACGTGCCCTTGACCGGAATCAAACCTGAGACTCTTTGGTCTGCAGGCTGACGCTCTAACCACTGAGGCAAACCAGCCAGGGCTCCCTGTATTATCTTTATTTAAGTGTTTATTGCAAGTAGAAGACAAAATAAGCATCAACTAAAATAATGAGTATTTTCTTAAAATACTGTGTATTTTCTTGCTACTTGCCTCTTCTATAAATGTGTTAAATTTATAAATAATGGAGTAATATAATTAGTTGGGTTCTGATTAATCAATATAATATGAGAATTCATGTACATATCTTCCTTTATATGTTCTCATATACTCTTGTAGTCACTTAGTTTTCTTTTTTTATCCTTACCCGAGGACATTTTTGCATTTATCTTCAGATAGAGTGGGAAGGAGAGAGGGAGGAAGAGAGAGAGAAACATCGACATGAGAGAGACACATTAAGTAGTCGCCACCCACACAACCCCAACTCGGGCCAGAGACAAACTGCAACCAAGGTACGCACCCCTAGCGGTAACCGAACCTGGGTCTCTCTGGTCTGTGGGCCAGTGCTCTAACTGCTGAGCCAAACCAGCCAGGGCTAGTCACTTAGTTTTCATTTTTAAAAATGTGGTAACTATTATAAATATACATATATAATAACATTATATAACTTATAGCATATGTAAAAGAATTGTGTATTTAAGAATAATGAAACTCACTCCCTACTTCTTATGATTTTCTTCCTTTTGTTTACCCTACAAACAGAGAATAGCAGCCTCAGTATTTGAGCACATTTATGAAAAAGTGAAGTAGGTGGTGGGGAAGGTATATCCAAATGCTATAACTCCTGATAGCACTCTGTTCCTTCCCTTCACTAACTGAAACACAGCTGATAATATGAAACTGTTTCTATGGTGATGAGTTCAGCAATTTTAATTAGCTAAGGATTAGGAAAACTGAACGATCAAAGGTATACTTTGATTCAGAATGGAGCTTTACTATATTATACTGTACGAAAACATAAGGTAGAGCTCTATTATAATGGACCCTGGAGTACTATAATACTATTCTCAGTCAACTGAGTATTCAGAATGAATTATAAAGTTCACATAGAACTCCCAAATAATAATAATTTTTTTTAAAAAAAGCAATTATCATTTACCCCTGGGTAACTGACCATATCAAAGCTAACAAGAGATTCCAAAGACCTGTATTAAAATCCAGGCCTCATTTTACAAATCAAGTGAAAAGGTTTCTAGGAAAAACCATTCACTGGCAACTTTATGAAGAATTACTTCTCTTAATTTCTACAAGTAGCAACACGTGGCTTTGAGAAGTTTTATTTAAGACATTTAAAATATATTAAATTATCAGACAAGTTATTTTGCCAAGAATAAGTCATGTAATAGCAGCACTCACCCACCTTCACTAACCAGCTCACTATTGTCTGACTGCTTACAAGAGATGATCTTCTCCACCAGTTGGTTGTAGCTGCAGTTACCAACAGCTTTCACAATGTCATCAATCTAGAAAACAAATGACTGTCTCACTATTCATGATAAGATTAAAAACAATAATAAAGAAACACATATCACTCTTCAGGGTTTTATTCTAATGCAATACTAAGTATACAAATATTACTTATGAAAAGAATCAACACCCAACTGTTTCCAATTTTGCTTACAGATATTATATATATATAACATTTTTTTTAAAAAAAGAAAGAAAAGTACTGCTCAGCTGTATTTCAAATATGCAACAAATAGTTAAATGGGATTATTACATGCAACTTTATTTCTTTAGGTTGTAAAGATGTATTTAAGAGAAAAGCTCAGTTGTTCTTTTGTTTTGTTTTTTTTTTTGTTTTTTACTAAAATACAAATGTTTTGCATTTAAAGCAAGACAAATTTAAAGATGTTAATTTGCCCTGGCTGGTATGACTCAGTTGGTTGAGCATTGTTTTGTACACTGAAAGGTTACTGGTTCATACCCAGTCAGGGCACATGCCCAGGGTGCGGGCTTGATCCCTGGTTGGGGGTGTGTAGGAGGCAGCCAATCGATGTTCCTCTTACATCGAAGTTTCTCTCTCTCTCCCTCTCCCTTCCTGTCTCTTTTTTTTTTTTTATCCTCATCCGAGGACATTTTTCCATTTTTTGTACAGACAGAGTGGGAGGGAGAGAGAGGAAGAGAGAGAGAGAGGGAAACATCGATGTGAAAGGAACACATCGAGTGGCTGCCACCCACACGACCGACCAGGGCCGGGGACAAACTGCAACCGAGGTACGTGCCCTTAGCGGGAACCGAACCCGGGTCTCTCCAGACCGCAGGCGGACGCTCTAACCGCTGAGCCAAAGCGGCCAGGGCTCCCTTCCTGTCTCTTTAAAAATCAATAAAGATAGCCCTGACCAGTTTGGCTCAGCGGTAGAGTGTCGGCCTACGGTCCAGAGAGATCCGGGTTTGGTTTCTGCTAAGGGCATGTACCTTGGTTGCAGTTTGTCCCAGGCCCTGGTTGGGTCGTACAGGTGGCAACCACTCGATGTGTCCCTTTCACATCGATGTTTCTCTCTCTCTCTCTCCCTCCCCACTCTATCTGAACAAAAAATAGAAAAATGTCCTCGGGTGAGGATTAAAAAAAACAATCAATAAAAATAAATAAAGATGTTAATTTATGAGATTAAAGTTTTTCCATTTTATTTATTATTTACTTCCTAGCCAAGTATAGTGGAACTATAAGTAGACATAACTAATTGTATTTTCCTAAAGAAAAGTTAACGTATATTAATCAAGGACAGTAATGATTCTTACTTAATCCTTGTCTTTGGAGGGTCACTAGAAGAGTAAATTTGGCTCTGGACCATTTGGCTCAGTGGTTAGAGCATTGGCCTGCAGTCCAGATAGACCTGGGTTCGGTTCCCACTCAGGGCATGTACCTTGGTTACAGTTTGTCCCCGGCCCTGGTTGGGTCATATGGGTGGTAGCCACTCGAAGTGTACCTTTCACGTTGATGTTTCTCTCTCTCTCCCCCTCTCTCTTCCTCCCACTCCATCTGAACAAAAGAAGGAAAAGTGTCCTTGGGTAAGGATAAAAAAAAAAAAATAGAGCAAATTCAATGTTTTAAGCTATAGGAATATAAAATGGGATCTCTACTCTCTCTCCATTATACTTTGCTTTGATGATTGAAGAAACATAGATTTCTGCTGTTTAAATAACTTATTTTGTTTGAATTCCCATCCCTAAAATATATTTATAAATTATTTACATGTAATACTGTTTAATATGATATATGCATAATAAAAACAAGTACAAATTAATACAATGATATCAAAACTAAGAGGGCAAATGTTTTCTTTCCACATCCAAATGATCTTCTTGAATACTTACTCTTTGAATTCCGTAAGTCTTGACATATATCTGCACAAGAAATACTCTGGACCGTAGTTCCCCAAACAGGGAGCTTGCTAAAAAGATGTAAGCCCTGGCCAGTGTGGCTCCATTGGTTGGAGCATCTCCCATACCCCAGAGGGTTGTGGGTTCAATTCTGGGTCAGGGCACATACCTAGGTTTCAGTTTGATACCAGTCGGGCATGTGTGAGGTGTGTGAGAGGCAATCAATCAATGTATCTCTCTCACATCAATCTCTCTCTCTAAAATCAATTAAAAGAAAAAAGATTTAAAAGAATTCCAGGCTCAAGGTGCTTCTCAGTTGTCTAAGTTGTATTCCACTGCTGGTTAGCAAAGTTTGAGAACAACTGTTCTGCTCTAGGCTATAATTTTTCTTTGTTCCTGAAAAATTCTACCATGGTAAAAGCCTCTTAATCATGCAAGTGGAACTGATGGTCTGTTGAGAAGACCAGTAAATTAAAAAAGCCAAAGCAGTGAATTGTGAAAAATGTTATATACCTATAGTAAACATTTCATGGTAACTAAAAACACATAAATGTATTATTCACTTGTCAATCTTTTGGTGCCCAAGTAAGATATTCACTAACCATTTGTGGTTACTGAGTAATTGAAATGGGGCTAGTGCAACTCAGGAACTAAATTTTTAACTCAATTTAAATAACCCCACTTGGCTACCATATTGGACAGAGAAGTTATAGAAACTATAACATTTGCCCCTACAATATCAAAGTCAGATATTACTATCCTATTTTTCTCTGTACCGCAGGCCGACGCTCCAACCGCTGAGCCAAACCGGCCAGGGCACTATCCTATTTTTGAACAATGAATTATAGGCTCTCAGTATACTTTACTTTCTTCCCAACTTATGTTATTTTTTGCATATGCTAATGTTCTTTATTTAAACCCAACATGATGTTATTATCTGATACAGTCAACATTTATGTTTATCCATATATTTATAATGTTATTTTCTCTTCATTCATTCTTCCTTTTATCTAGGATCACATTCCATTATTTAGAATTTCCATTAATGACAGTATATTGGCAGGAAACTATCTTAATTTAATTAATCTAAAAAATAACTTCATTTTTGCCTGGCCAGTGTGGCTCAGTGGTTGAGCGCTGACCCATGCACCAAGAGGCCACCAGTTCAATTCCCAGTCAGGGCACATGTCCAGGTTATGGGCCAAATCCCCAATGGGGGGCATGCAGGAGGCTACCAATTGATGTTCTCTCTCATTGATGTTTCCTTCTCTCTCCTGCCCCCCCCCTCCCAGAATAATCTTTTCAACAAATGAAACTAGGACAACTAAATATCCACATGCAAAAGAATGAAACTGGATCCCTTCCTCAAAACATATACAAAAATTAACTTATGGTAGATCATACTTCTGAACCTCAGAACTAAAACTATAAAACTTTTACAAGAAGATATAGGAGTAAATCCTTGTGACTTTGGGTTAGGCAAAGTCTTCTTAGGTAAGACACCAAAAGCATAAGCAACAAAAGAAAATACAGATAAACTGGACTTCATCAAAATTAAAAACTTTTGTTCTTTAAAAGATATCATCAAGAAAGTAAAAAGACAACATACAGAATGGGAGAAAAATCTGCAAATCATATGTCTGATAAGAGACTTATACTGAGATATATAAAAAACTCTTGCAATTCAATAACAAAAAGGAAGGGATCTACAGACATTTCTCCAAAGAAAATATACAAATGGCTAAAAAGCATATGAAAAGATGCTCAACATCATTAGTCATGAGATAAATGCAAACAAATCCACAATGAGGCATGACTTTACACCTATTAGGATGACTATAATAAAAAAAGACAGATAATGACAAGTGTTGGTGAGGATGTGGACTCAACTTTGTAGCTGGCCCCTAACTCTCTGAAGTTACACTCAGAAGTCTTGGACTTGGGCAAGTTTAGCTGTCTGGAAGACTGCTCCCTTAGCCTCTCACTTTGGCTCATTCCAGGTAAAAAACACAAAAATATAAGTATCAGAAAAATATAAATCTAAATTGATTTGCCAAATTAATAGCATTTTACTAAATTTGTGTTTATATATTTAAAATTTTCTACTTACCTGAGGGTCCACTAACCACCCATGATATAAAGGAATATCAAGAAGATCAAATACTATGCATTCTGGTGTATATTCAAACACTCGAACACCAGTGAATTTTACATTTACATCCAAGCCTGTCTGCAGTTTGTGTAAGATTGCCATAGCATCACTCATATTCTGAAAACAGAAAAGGAAAGAGTAATGATAAGAAAAAAGAAACAACAACAAAAAAGATATTTAAATGTAAGCACATTAAATGTAAATGTAATTTCCCATTTTTATTATTAAGTACTACTATATGCCAGGTACCAATCTGAGTTCTAAATATATAATAGTGAATATAGACAAAGTTCCTGATCTCATGCTACTGTGAGAGACAAATATATAAATATAAAACATAATTCAAGTATTGGTAAGAAAAATTGAGCAGGATAAGGATGTACAGAGTGACAGGGGTGAGGGACCAACTTTAGACCAGAAAAACTAAAGACACACGTTTGTAGTCAAAGAGGAAGGCCTCTCCCACTTCTAGGTATATATCCAAAAGACTTGAAAGCAGCATCTTGAAGAGACATTTGTACACCCATGTTCATTGCAGCAGTATTCACAATACCCAAGAGGCAGAAACAGCCCACATGTCTACTGACATATATATAAAGAAAATGTGGTATATATATACAATGGAATATTATCTAGCCTTAAAAAAGAAGGAAATACTATTACATGCTACAACATAGATGAAACTTTAGGACATTATGCTGAATAAAATAAGCCATTGTGAAAGGACACATTCTGCATTGTTCCACTTATATGAAATATCCAGAGTGGTCAAAATCATGGAATGAGAAAGTAGAATGATGGTGGTCAGGGCCTGGAGGGAGAGAAAGCTGGGGAATTGTCCGATGGGTATAGAGTTTCAGTTTTACAAGATAAAAATGTACTAGAGGTCTGGTACAAAATAATATGAATATAGTTAACATAACTGAATTCTACATTTAAAAATGGTTAAGAGAGTAAATTTTATCTTTTTAAAAATAATCTTCACCTGAGGATACTTTTCCATTTATCTCCAGATAGAATTGGGGGCGGGGGGGAGAGACAGAGAGAGACAGAGACAGAGGTGAGAGAGACACATCAATTGGTTGCTGACCAGGGCCAGAACCGAACCACAACTGAGGTACATGCCCTTGACCAGAATAAAATCCGCAACTCTTTGGTCCTTGAGCTGACGCTCTAACCGCTGAGCCAAACCGGCCAGGGCTATCTTTTTTTAACAATAAAAATAAAGAAAAAGAAATGAGCTATCAAGACATGGAGGAAATTTAAATGTATATTATTACTAAGTGAAAGAAGCCAATCTAAAATGGCTACAAGCTGTATGATTCCAAACAAGAATGTGAGAAAAACAAAACAACGGAGACTGAGATCAGTGGTTGCCAGAGGTTAGGAGAAGGTTGAGATATATAGGCAGAACACAGAGGATTTTTAGGGCAGTAAAACTATTATGTATGATACTCTAATGGCAATGCAGGTCATTATACATTTGTCAAACCCACAGAATATATAACACAAAGAGTGAACCCTAATGTAAACTATGGACTTTGGGTATTAATTATGTGTCAGTGTAAGTTCATCAATTATAACAAATGTATCACTCTGGTACAGGATTTGATAGTGGGGGAGGTTGTGTGCGTATTGGGGGAACAGGAGGTAAATGGGAACTCTCGTACTATTTATTACATTTTGCTGTGAATTTAAAAGGCTTAAAAACGGGGGAGGGGAGGTCTTTAAAAATGACCTAAATAGTGACCAAGCAAAATACTGAGTCTTGGGAAACTCTAGAAAGAGCATTCCAGACAAAGTGGACACTAGTATAAAAACTCTGATGCAGAAATGAGTTCAATACTGTGTCCATGGCCCGGCTGGTGTGGTTCAGTGGACTGAGCACTGTCCCATGGACTGAGAGGTCCTGGTTCGATTCCCAGTCAGGCACATGGCTGGGTTGTAGGCTTGATCCCCAGTAGGGGGAGTGCAGGAGGCCACCGATAGATGTTTCTCTCTCACAATGATGTTTCTATCTCTTGCTCCCTTCCTCTCTCTCTAAAAAATCAATAAAAACATATTCCAAGGAGTCCATGGAATAGCAAGGAGTCCAGCATGGCTAGAACAAAATAAATGAATTGGAAAGTGGTGGAAGATGAAGTCTGAGAGAGACAGAGGCTGGATCACAAAGACTTATTGGCCAAATTAAGGAGTCATTCTATGCACATCAGTTTTCTCAATAAATGTAGTCACACAAGTCTATAATAAAGACTATTTTAAAACATGTTTTTCTAAATCTTAATACATTAAATATGAACCATACTTATAGAGGGTATATTTGATGAAACAAATAAAAGCACATATATAAAATTTAATAAAACTTTATTTAATTCCTATTGTTAACAGACACTGTGACACATATTGAAGATACAAAATAAGAGTAGACTATAGCCTGTTGGAGAGCTTATAGTAGAAATGGTGGCTATGAAATAAATCTTTTTATATTAAAACTCAGAATTTTCTCTGAAATCTGAAAAAGACAAAATTTAGGTCATAAGAATAAAGTTCTATTTTACCAAATAACCGATAAATCCCATTCTAAGAGAAGGATAAACTGAAAACAAAAAATTATTCAAATATTTAAAATTTATGAATGAGAAATTTGTAACAATAATGTTATATAGCTTTTGGCTTTTGTCAGGTTCATCTCTTCCTAATAACTATGTTCCCCCAAAATAATACAGTTGACCTTGAATAACATGGGACTGAATTATGTGCATCCATTTATATACAGATCTTTTTCAGTAAATATTGTAAATGTATTTCTCTTATTATTTTCTTTATTTTATTATTTTTTAAAGATAGTTGACAGTCAATATTATATTAGTTTCCTTATGGTTTTCTTTTCTCTAACTTTCATTATAACACAGTACATAATACATGTAAGATACAAAATATGTGTTAATTGACTGTTTCTATTATTGGTAAGGCTTCTTGTCAACAGTAGGCTACTGGTAAAGTTTTGGGGAAAATCAAAAGTTATATGCAAATTTCTGACTGTGCTACATGTTGGTACCCATAACCCCTGCATTGTTCAAGGGTCAACTATATTTTCTAAATCTTATTAAAAGTTGAATCCTTAAAAAAATCAGCTCATGCTCTTGCCAGTGTGGCTCGTTTGGTTGGAGTGCCGTACTGTCCACCAACAAGTTGCTAGTTTGATTCCTGGTCAGGGTACATACCCAGGTTGCAGGTTCTATCACCACTCTGGGTGCATGCAGGAGGCAACTGATCAATGTTTCTCTCTTACATCAATATTTCTCTCTCTCTCTCTGCCCCACTCCCAAAAATATCAGCTCATATTTTTCCCTTCAGTGTTTTAAAACTTCACCTAAAATCATAGCAATGATGCATTTGAGAAAATAGTAAAAATAGTGAGTAATTGTAGGATTATAGTTCTACTACTACTGATTTTTTCTTCTGTTTGTTTTATTCAAGATTGCCAGGCCCAGCTGGTGTGGCTCAGTGGTTGAGCATCAACTCATGGACCAAGAGGTCTTCAGTTCAATTACCAGTCAGGGTACATGCCTAGGTTGTGGGCTCGATCCCCAGTGGGGGGCATGCAGGAGGCAGACGACTGGTGTGTCTCTCTCATTGATGTTTCTCTCTCTCTCTCCCTCTCCCTTCCTCTCTTTAAAAATCAATTAAAAAAAAAATATATATATATATATATATAAAAATAAATAAATAAATAAAAGGTTGCCAGTCACCCAATTTCCTTTAGGGGAAGTATAAGTTTGAATAGTTCCTGGGCTCATGCTTACACCTTTATACATCTTCTACATTTTTTATAGATTATATAGTATTGAAATAAATAAATTGATGCCATTTGGTAATCCCCATAAAGATTAATAAAGTGATAAAAAAATCAAAAAATTTATAAACAAAGAGTTTAAAGGGTAAGTATTTTGTCATCTTTTCCCTAAATCCAAGTTATAATAATATCATAAAATACAGATCCTAGGAATGATTGCTTTCATCACAAGAATTACTACTGTTTCCTTTAAGCCAGTGGTTGAATTATTTCTTAGAATTTTTCTTAAAGGTACTTATTAAAATAGCAAAATATTTTAAATTTAAATATAAAATATATTTTAAAAACCTATTTGCAGTCATTTAAAAAACTGTCATAAAAACAGACACAAGCCCGGCCAGTGTGGCTCAGTGGTTGAGCATCGATCCATACACCAGAAGGTTGCCAGTTTGAGTCCTGGTTGGGGCGCATGTCCAGGTTGTCGACCGGATCCCCACTGGGGGGGGGATGTGCGTGCGGAAGGCGGCCAATCAATGTTCTCGCTCATTGATGTTTCTATCTTTCTCTCCCTCTCCCTTCCTCTCTAAAACCAAAAAGAAAAAAAAAAATTAAAAACACACACAAATATATTTGCTGGTGTTGTCTGGGTACCTATCATTAAGCAAAACTGGGAAAAATATGCTCTTTGTTTACATTACAACTTCTGGTAAAGAGGTTTTAATTAGGAAAATTACAGCTCTGCATTGGTCTTTCTAAAATTTAGGCTTAAACATTTCTGCTCGAATAAAATTATACAAAAAAACAACTATTACATCATACCTGTGGAACATTAAACACCAGCTTCCATTTACCATTTCAGTTTGATACATACTACTCTCAAACCTAATGGTAATATAATCAAAATATGTTATATGTTATAGTTTTAGAGTTTATTTTATTTTATTTTTTTATCCTCACCTGAGGACATTTTTGCATTTATCTTCAGATAGAGCGGAAGAGAGAGTGGGAGGAAGAGAGAGAGAGAAAAATTGATGTGAGAGATACACATCGACTGGTTGCCACCCACACAATCCCAACCAGGGCTGGGGACAAATTGCAATCGAGGTACGTGCCCTTAGTGGGAACCAAACCTGGGCCTTTCTGGTCCATGGGCCGACGGTCTAACCTCTGAGCCAAACCATCTAGGGCTAGAGTTTATTTTATTTTTTATTTTTTTATCCTCATTTTTTGTTCAGGTAAAGTGGGAGGGAGAGAGAGAAAGAGAGAGAGAGAGAAACATTGATGTGAAAGGGACACATCGAGTGGCTGCCACCCGCACGACCAACCAGGGCCAGGGACAAACTGCAACCGGGGTACATGCCTTTAGCGGGAACCGAACCCGGGTCTCTCTGGACCGCAGGCTGACGCTCTAACCACTGAACAAAACCGGCCAGGGCTAGAGTTTATTTTAAATGCAAGGTACTTTTTGTCTGACATGTTTATAAGAATTGCAAGCAGTTATTAGATATTGTTTGTTTCAACTCTACTTCCTTTTTCCAAGATTCTGTCACTTTAATGGAAGTGTATCTGAAACTGCAAGATGGACTTGACATAAACAAAATGCTGATTATCATTTGCAAACATTCATCAGTCAAGATTTTCCCAAGACTGTGCAACAGAAGTAAAATGAATTGTGAGGTTGAATGGAAACTCCAATTATCATCCATAATTCCCAATTTCAAGCTTTGTATTAATCAAAAAAGCCTCACTGATTTCAGTAAGAAATAGCATAAATTTGATAAGTAATATAAATTGAACCATATCACTTTATACTTACAAAATACATTTACTGGTTTTATATATTGGAAGTTAGCATACGATTTCATTTCAAAGGAGGTTTCTACTGCAAAACATATTTAGAAATCATTGCTTTAAGTTACAAATTTCAGTATGGCTTTAGCTACAGATTTCCTATCTTACACAAAGATGTTGGCTTTTCAGTTCTTTTAGAACTAGATTATCTGAACATCTAAATTCAAGAAATTCTGCAATACTGAAATCAGTTTTGCTTCATTTTTCGCCAATTAGATACTAATGACAGTATATTTAAAAACTTTTAAGGTAAATATAAAGGATCCAATGACGTTTATTTCTTCCCTGGCTGAAACTTCCTTCCACTGTGAGGAACTGATTCCTTCTTGCCTTCTACTGCCAAACAAAGGAAGAATACTGAAGAAAAGGAAGCTCTACTTCAGTGGTTCTCAACCTTCCTAATGCCGCGACTCTTTAATATAGTTCCTCATGTTGTGGTGACCCCCAACCATAAAATTACTGTCATTGCTATTTCATAACTGTAATTTTACTACTGTTAAGTCTTAGGCGACCCCTGTGACAGGGTTGTTCGACCCTGGAAGGGGTTGCGACCCACAGGTTGAGAACCGCTGCTCTACTTGCTTTCTTCCAATTGCAATAGTTTTGAACCTAGTAACCCCTCTTATATTACAGAAAAGAATCTCTAAAGAACATACTAAGAAATGTGAACACAGTGAAACTGTGAAACAGCAGGGTCCTAATTGTCCTAATGACATAGCTGAGACATCATTGCTCAAATTTCTCCTAAGTATAACCTAATTATAAAATATTAATAAATGGAAAGATGAATCAATGACAAAATCACTTGAAAATCAACTTTGCAAAGAAAATACCAGGTTATCATTCTACACAGACCTGTAGAATAATATCTATGTTTCATTCTATATAGCATATATATTCTTATGAAACAAAGACTGGCCACTGATAGAGAATAATAAATACATCCTTGTTAAAACTTACATATTTTAATGTAATAAAAATTATTTCTATTACCTGCTCATAGTTTAAACGTTGAATTTCTGAAATTTCTTTTGGCTTTGCATCAAGCATGTAATCTCCTGTAACAAGAAATTGTGAAGATGCCTTTTAAAAATATTAGATTATAGCAACAGGTGACATATACAATTTACCCCCCAATTCTATTCAGAGAAAATTGGTATTAACTATTTGCTAGTCTCACATATATATATTTTAAATCCCCATCTGAGGATATGCCCATTGATTTTAGGGAGGTACAAACATCGATCAGTTGCAGCCCACCCCCATCCCCCACCCCCGTGTCCCTCTACCCCTGGGATCAAACCCACAACCTAGGTATGTGCCTTGACCGGGAATCCACCCCACAACCCCTCAGTGTACGGGACAATACGCCAACCAACCAAGTGAGCCACATCAGCCAGGTAGTTTCACATCTTTTTTTCAATATACGTACTCTATGCTTTTGAGCTTTCTCTATCTTCCATTTTATAATATATCTGAGCATCTTTCCATGTCACTACAATAAGGCTGCATCAAGTTTCACTGTTATTAACAGTATAACTATTAACCTCATTACCTTTCCAAGAATGGGTGTTAACCAGTCTTCTAAATGTTTGCGCCATTCTGAGAAGTAAACAAAATTTTTTGCATTTAAAAAATTGATATCTTTTATATGTATTTTTCTTTGGTATCCCCTTTTTAATATATGTATGACTTTTGGCATATGTGACATCTTTTTAAATTTTATTTTGTGGCACCTTTTAAATATATATAGCTTCATTTTAACACCTGCAGTGCCTTTTTATCTATATTTTGCCTTTTTAATTATATATTAACTATTTATACTCCTTTTCTTTGAATTGCCTGCTTATACAAGTATTATTTCGTCTTACTGAAATGTAAAAACTCTTTTTAAATTATAGAAATTAGAACATTTACTGTTATATGTGTAGTAAACATTTTCCCCCATATTGGCTTCTGACTTTATGGTAAATTTTTTGTCTATTTTTTTTTTGTGATACAGAAATATGTCATTTTAATATAGTCAAATTCTTCTATTATAGCTTCTGGGTTGGATGTTATGTTTAAAAGATCTTCACCTCTTAAAAGTATATAAACAGTCCTGGCTGGTGTGGCTCAGTCAGTTAGAGTGTCATCCTGTACATTAGGGGACAGTAAGGTGGTGGATTCGATTCTGTTTAGGACACATATCCAGATTGCAGGTTTGATCCTGGGTCAGGGCGCGTGTGGTAGATAGCTGATTGATGTTTGTCTCTCTCTCCCCTTTCCTCTCTCTAAAATCAATATTTAAAAAAGTAAACAAACATCTATATATGCCTTCTTCACGTAATTTTATGTCTTTTTAAATGTTTAAATATTTAATTTACCTGGAATTTATTTTGACATAGTTATATATGAAACCAACTTCTCACCTAGCCTCCCAAATCACTAACAAGTTAATGAAATTATTTATACTACAACCTTTATTTTCCAATTAAAAATAAACTTCTAAAGTATTCTCTTAAATTTTCCAACTCTGCTTAAAGAACTCCTATGAACATTAATATACTATTTGTATTTTTTTTGGTTAATCCTCTCCCAAGGATATTTTTTCCATTGATTTCTAGAGAGAGTGGAAGGGAAGGAGGGAATGAAGGGTAGAGAGAGAAAGAAACATCAATGTGAGAAAGACACATCGATTGGTTGCCTCTTGTACACCCTGACTGGGGCCAGGGATTGAACCTGTAACCCAGGTATGTGCCCTCAACTAGAAATCGAACCCAAGACCCTCTAGTACACAGGCTGACACTCTAACCACTGAGCAACACCAGCCATGGCTATTATTTGTGCTTTTAATTAGAATTTTAAGATAGCAAACCTAACTAGGAAATATTTTATTCTGCATAGGTACAAAACTCCAAAAGCACTAAATAATTGATTTTCAGATACATAAGCAAGTCTACTTAACAAATATTTCTGAATCCTTACTATATATAGCACATTTGTGTGCCATATACATGTACATATATATATATATATGAACATAACCGAGAACATAATTGGTATACTTGTATCCTATATTTCATTTGATAGAAGAATCAGATATTTTTAAATGGCTTTAAGGTAACATCTTATAGTTTTAGATACCTAAATAAATCTTTTCTCAAGAGTGCTGTTTTGTCTAGCTTATCTGAAATTGGTCAACAACATTATTTCTATCAATAATTATCAAGCTCTTCCCAAAAGTAGCCAGAGGTGACCTCTGAAAATGGTTCGTTATTCACTTGACCCAGAAAACCCCACAAACTCATGCAAACCAAGAGGTTCAAATTTTGTGTTCACTTTCAATTTTTTTTTTCTTTATTGGTTTTAGAGAGAGAGGGAGAGATAAAACCATCATTGAGAACATCCATTGGCCGCCACCTGCATGCCCCCCCACTGGAGATTTGGCCCACAACCTGGGCATGTGTCCTGACTGGGAATTGAATCAACGGCCTCTTGGTGCATGGGTCAATGCTTAACCACTGAGCCACACTGGCCGGGCTCCTGCTCACCTTAAGAACACCCAAGATGACCTGGCTGGTTTGGCTCAGCGGTTAGAGCATTGGCCTGTGGACCAAAAAGTCGCAGGTTTGATTCCGGTCAAGGGCACATACCTCGGTTGCGGTTCAGTCCCGGGCCCTGGTCAGGGTCATGCAGAAGGCAACCAGTCGATGTGTCTCTCTCATACTGATGTCTCTCTCTGTCTCTCTCTCTCTCTCTCTCTCACACACACACACACACACACACACACTCTATCTGAAGATACATGGAAAAATATCCTCGGGTGAGGATTTAAAAAAAAAAAAAGAACACTTGAGAAACTTCCCAGGTCATCAAGGGTATGCATATTTGAAAACCACCAAATGTCTGAAGGATGTCTCTTTATACCAGCAATGTGTGCCATTCCATCATTACAATGGTGGAGTTGGTAGGTGTGCCTGGGCCAAACAGTAGGGCTGGACACAGAGCTGGTGGCCCAAAGAGTGCTGAATTTTTGCTGTATGTGCTTAAAAATGAAAAGAGTGATGCTAAACTTTAGAGTTTAGATGAAGATTCTCTGATCATTGAACACATCCAGGTGAGCAAAGCTCCCAAGATGCGGCATAGAACTTACAGAGCTCATGAGTGGATTAACCCATACATGAGCTCTCCCTGCCACAATGAGATGATTCTTACTGAAAAAGAACAGATTGTTCCTAAAACAGAAGAGGAGGTTGCATAGAAGAAAAAGATATCCCAGAAAAAAACTGAAGAAATAAACACTATGGCCTAGGAGTAAATTCAACATAAACTAAATACTAATAAAAGTAAAAAACAAACAAACAAAAAACACTCCTTATTGGAAGTTTATTATGTGTTTAGTAATGGGTTAAAACAAATACTAGGAAATGAATGATTCTCTTAAAAAATAATTTGGTTGGGCAAAGAAAGCAGAATAATAATAAAGTAAAATATAATTAAAATGTAATGTGTCTTTTATTAGTCGAATCATCATACCAACTATTTCAGATGAGTAGAATTATATGTAGTATAAATTCCACTTTGTGTTACACTTTGTTTTACATTATCTTCCTACCCATTTTCTGCCTTCCACCTACACTTCCTCCCCACCTTATTTTATTAGCTCTCATAGTACTTCTTAGGTATCCTAGCTTGTCCTGTCCCTTTCTTTATGCCAAAGCTTTCCAACAAGCCTTGTCTATGTACGGCCCTGCTCTACTATTCTAGTAACAGAAATTTCCAAAACAAAATTCACTCCTCCTCTAACCTATGCCAATCAAAATTCCCATTCCCTGTGGTTCCTCAGCTAGGTGCTAGGAAAGGAATTAATGGTTTCTCTTATAATCTTTCTACTAGTGTTTGCTTATTAACTCAAAAGCATCTCTAGTTTCTCTAGAGAACTGCAGTAATCTCAAGAGAAGAAAGTTCAAATAGTTTAGAAAATTAAACAATTTGTCCTGGCATGACTGGCCCTGAATAAAGTTTACTTTGGGCGTGGCAAATTCTTCAGAATCTTTCTCATATCACTCTTGCTCACTTCTCACCCACTCTCCATTAGGATATTACTTTCATGCTCGTCCCTAGTAGCTGAGTCCCCAAGACTTCCAAACTTCTTTCACTACCCTAGATCTAGATATTTCTTCATCAAGTTTTCTTTTTCCCTATTAAAATTTTCTGCCCTATGTCCTGCTTCCTCAAGGCTTTGCTAGCTAACATTTAGATGAATTTAATATACCGAACCTCTTCCCTGCTATTACCACCCTCTACTTGCCTTTGTCTGCAATACCTTCTGAGACAAAATGAGCTCTTTGTTACACTCCTGTTGGCTCAATCTGAGGATTTCCAATTTTCCCTTGTATCCACTACAGGCAGGTTTTAATACCATGCACTTGTGGAAGTTACCAATGACCTTCTTATTGGCTCAATTAATGGTCAATTTTTAAGTTTTCTTCCTGCTTGAACTATTAGCCACATTTGATTCAGCTAACATCTCACTCTTCATTGAAACTCTTCTTCATTTTGATTCTAGGAAATCAGTCTCCTTTTTTTCCTTCTACCTGGCTGAGCACACCTGTTCTTCCTTCTTCCCCAACTTCTTATCACTGGCATATCCAGAATCAGTTCATTGATCTTTTCCCTTCTCTATCTACATTTATCCTCTTCATGATCTAACTTAGTGTAATTCACTTTATATATGTTTTCTGCTTCTAAATGTATATTTACAAGCTAGATCTGTACTGTCTAATACATTAGCCACTATCAATATATGGCAATATAAATTTAAATTAATATTAAATTTAATATTCAGTTACTCAGTCACAGCAGTGTGTGTGTATGTATATATTTAAACATGTTTTTATTGACTTTTTAGAGAGAGAGGAAGGGAGAGATAGAAACATTGATGAGAGAGAACATCAACTGGCTACCTCCTGCATGCCCCTCACTGGGGATTGTGCCCACAACCTGAGCATACACCCTGACCTGGAATCAAACAGGTGATCTCTTAGAGCATGGGTCAATGCTTAACCACTGAGCCACACCAGCTTTGTGAGAGACAGAAACATCAATGTGAGTGAGAACCATCTATTGGCTGCCTCCTTGCACGCACCCTACTGGGGATTGAGCCAGCAACCCCAGCATGTGCTCTGATGGGGAATCAAACTGGGACCTCTCAGTCTAAGGGTCGATGCTCAATCCACTGAGCCACACCGGCCAGGCACAGCAATATTTTAAGAGCTTAAGAGCCACATGTGGCTAGTGGCTTCCAACTGGACAGCACAGATACAGAACATTTCTATCACCAAAGAAAGTTCCACTGTACAGCACTGATCCAGATCTCTCATCTGAACTCTTATAATTTTTTTTTTCTTTTTAATTAAATTAATTAATTTATTTTTGTTATAGATGTTTCTCCTTTTTCCCCCACTGACTCCCCTCTCCCCACCCTGTCCCCAGCTTTGTTGTCCATGTCCACTGTTCATGCATACATGCATATGAACTCTTATAATTTTATATTCAACTGCCTTCCTGAGATCTCCACTTTTCAACAAACATCTCAAAATCTAAATCCTGATATTTATCCCTAAACATGTTCCCTATATTGTTTCCTATTCCAGTTGACGGTAACTCAATACTTCCAGCTGTTCAAGCCAAAAACCATGGGCTGACCCTTTACTCCATGTTCATTCTCCCTCCATATTCAGCTGATCAGCAAATTTTGTAAACTCTATCTCCAAAACTTGAACACATTTTACAGTCTCCACTTCTACTACCCTGTTTGAAGCTACAACCACCTTTGCCAGTTGTAATAGCTTCCTGATCTCTCTGCTTCTGTCCTTACCCCCTAAGTTCTATTTTCAACACCACAGCCAGAGAATTCTTGTTAAACTCAAAGTCAGATCATGTCAGTTCTCTACTGACAATTTCTCTAGTGACTTCCCACCTCACTTCCAGCAAAAGTCAAAGTTTCTAAAATAGTCTGCAGAGCCCTATATGATCCAACCCTATTACTTCTCTAATATCATTTCTGACTACCTCCCCTTCACACACTTCTTGGCAGTCATACTGGCTGTTCCTCAAAAGCATCAAACATATTTTAGCCTTCCCATGAAATATAATTTAGAAATCACAAAGTCTAAGGATCACTAAGTGAGACTAAAAGAGATAGAGAAATTCTATTTCTAGATATCTAGGTATTCAAGATAACCTACCCATATCTATGAGGTTCCCTAGCCAGTAAATGGAATTGAGTTATACATACAGAAAAGGTCTTCCAAAAGCTGCAATCTCAATTACTTTGCTAAGCCTACATCTCACAAAAATCAGTTAGTTAGCTGTCTGGGATGCCAAAGACAAAGTAGTCAGATGACAATTTTTTTTTTTTTTAATAAAAGTTTAGCCCTGGCCAGTTTGGCTCAGCGGTTAGAATGTCAGCCTGCGGTCCAGAGAGACCCGGGTTTGGTTCCCGCTAAGGGCACGTACCTCAGTTGCAGTTTGTCCCCGGCCGTGGATGGGTCGTGCGGGTGGCAACCACTCGATGTGTCCCTTTCACATCGATGTTTCTCTCTCTCTCTCTCTTTCCTTCCCACTCTATCTGAACAAGATATGGAAAAAGGTACTCGGGTGAGGATAAAATATAAAATAAAATAAAAATAAAAGTTTAATTACTAAAAACAACTGTGAGAATATGGATTAAGATGTCCTATTTGGTAATAGTATAAATACATAAACTTTTATTTGCTAAATTGTAAAAGATCTCAGTGTGATATACAACTACCTGCTTTGTAAACAAGATCTACTCAATGCAGCTGCAAACTGTGTATTGATGGTCTGTTCTGAAATAAGATGCTTGCACAAGAATGCAATTCAATACAGTACTTCCCTCACCAAGAAAATTTTGCTATGAAAAAGTTTCAGATAAACTTAACTGTGTGCTTACTATTGTAAATGTTTTACATTCTGGTACAAGCCCCTATGTCACTGCGGGGACACTGTAGCTAACGTTTCATAAACTGGCATAGGTTCATAAATCATACTTTGGGAAGCACTGCTTTAAATCAGCTCCTGGTCTTTATTCAAGTCTAATCAGCATTTTTAAAAACAGTTTCTACATGCAATGTCAGAATGTCTGTGCCACTTCTCATTCTGCAATTTATTAGAATTAATATATAGCTTGTTGTTTTCTACATGTTGTTAGTCTCCTTATTTATATTATAGGATTTTAATCCTGGTCAGAAAAAAGGCTTTAACATCCCAAAAGAGAAATATACTGATAAAAATTTTTAGTTAAGAGATTAAAAATTTTAATTTAAAAATAGATTATATAATAGTTCTGGAATGTGAGATTTGATAACATATGAGCTTTTAAAACTTTATTTTATTTTAAAAGAGATATAAAATCATCCACTTTTCAATACTAACCTAAATATTCCATCAGTTGTTCAGCAGTTATGATTTCCATCATCGGTGGAAGTTTCACCTGAAAAACAAATTTTTTTTCAATAAAATCAAATGTTTTAGGTGATTAAAGTGTTTTTTCTGTCAGAAATATAAATATGTATGTGTATATATGCATCTGCATACATTAACATTCACATTATCAAAATCTTTATAATAAATCTTTATAGAATATAACAGTCAATCCTATCACAATAAAATTGACAGAATGGTAACAGCCTCAGAGACACTGAGAAATCTGTTTTCAAAGCCTAGTGCTCTGCCTTTTACCACCCACCATGATTGTCATTAGGCATCTGCAACAGTGAAGTGCATGATAGAAAATGCAGTGAAAGGGCGGGAAGAGGCACCAAACATGTTGTGACAGGTGACTCTCTGAGCAGTTTTACTGAAAACAGGCTTAATCACAGCTCAGTATCCCATTACCTTAGTCTACCTTGGCCATTTTTTATTGTTGAATGGTTAACGTAAATACAGTATTAAAGTATTTGTCACACACTGAAGAATTCAGATTGTATTATTCCACTTGTAAAGTTTACAAACAGGCAAAATTAAGCTATATTGTTAAGAGCTGCATTCTTGATGATAAAATTACTAAGAAAAGTAAAAAAATGGATACTATAAAATCAGGATTATGGTTAGCCCTAGGGATAAGAGAAGTGATAGCTGGAAAGGAGCATATAAGACATATCTGGGGTGCTGACAGTGCTTTATTTCTTGACTTGCATGTAGTTCTGCTGTTTGCTTTATAATAACTTGTTAAACTGGACATTTCTGTTTTATGTACTCTTCTTATATTCCACAATAAAATCGTTAAAAGTATATACATATTCAAGTTTCTAAAGCTAATTCAGCTGCAACACATCAGTCTAAATTAATTTTTCAAATGAACTGTCATGAGTTACACAGATATTACCACTAATGATTGTAAATATTTTAACTGACTTATTCAAAAGCATACTCTGTGGTATATTCATAGGAGAAAAATAAATACTGTGGGATGCAAACTCAAAGTAATTAACATAACAATGATAGGAGAATAGAAGCATAATGTAAAATTTTTCAGAACTATTTTCTATTCAGCCATGGAAATTATTTAAATCAGCAATTTCTTCCATTCTCCCAAGTGTTGAAAAAGGTCCTCTGGGTATTTGTTACCAAATGTGGTAATAGCATGCCACAATTTTTTGCTTGTTTGTTTTTATCAATGAATAAAATAGATAACTCAGAACAATGTGAGACCCTCTGAGAGCATATATGATAGTTGATGCTTATGATTTAGGCATCCAGAAGATTTATCACTCAGTGAAACCAGAGATTACATCAGAGGTTTTGATCATTACTCAATCCTAATTATTTTTTCTTTTTAAATTGAAACTCATTAGCAAATCATGGTCCCTGCCTGTTTTTCTAAATAAAGTTTTATTGAAACATGACTTATGTATTGTTTGGTTGCTTTTGCACTGTGGTAGCAAAGTTAAATCTTTGCAACAGGGGCCACATTAGCTCACAAAACCTAACATACATACATATATATATGTGTGTGTGTGTGTATATATATATATATATATATTTTATCCTCACCCGAGGAATTTTTTCCATTTCTTGTTCAGATAGAGTGGGAGGGAGAGAGAGAGAAAAACATCGATGTGAAAGGGACACATCGAGTGGCTGCTACCTGCACGACCCAACCAGGGCTGGGGAAAAACTGCAACCGAGGTACATGCCCTTAGCGGGAACCGAACCCGGGTCTCTCTGGACCGCAGGCTGACGCTCTAACCGCTGAGCCAAACCGGCCAGGGCCAAAACTTAACAAATTTACTATCTGGTCCTTTACAAGAAAAGTTTACTGATCCTTGCTTTAGATTATTTTAACTGTTATTATATAGCATTTTATCAAGGTGCTTCAGAACTGCTTTTGAATGTCTGATATTTAAAGCAGTAGTTTATATTCACTGTGAATGTTTATATTCTAAGCAACGGTCAGACCAATCTGAAAAACCATTGCACCTAGCAATGTTTTTTAAATAAGACCTATATATTCTTTTATTCCAGACATATTCACTACTGAAATATATTCACCAGAAAATCCCACAAAGCTTATCTTCTGCTTTGGTTAATGTAGTAATCATACAATAAAATTATCAAGATAAGAAACAAAGGCACTAACAAGTATATGTATTTGGGAAATACACTCTACATACAAACTTCTATAAACAGATAATTTCAGGGTTTAGCCTTGGAATTTCCAAATAATAATTACCTAGCATGTGTTTCTTCAAATATTTAAAATAGGAAATGACAATCTCTATATTGATTTTAGAAGTGGTACAAGAAATACACAAATATTTTAGCTGACTTATTCACAAGCATACTCAGTGGTATATTCATTTTCTGAATCTTAGCCAATAAAATAACCTGGATGTTCATTAAAACTAGAAACAAAATACAATAGTGAAGAAAAATGCCTGCCTCTCACTAATACTTTGGAGCCATCAACATATCTTATTTTCTTTTAACCACAATATTCCTGAAAGCTTGCTTCTCTTTTTGCTTTCCTCTACTACCATTACCTCAAAAGTCATTGTCAAGGTTTTATTAATGATCCTAAGACTTTTCACTCCTTTGTCGCTTTAGATTTTATTAAAGAGAAACAGTTTATGGGATTGCTAGCAAAGAATACAGAACAATTGTGGCACTGTCTGAAACTCTAAATTTTATTCCTTTATTGATTTTAGAGAGAGAAGTGAGAGGGAGAAAGAGAAACATTGATGAGAGAGAACATCACTTGGCCGCCTCCTACATGCCCCCCACTGGGGATTGGGCCCATAACCTGGGCATGTGTCCTGACCAGGAATTGAACTGGTGACCTCTTGGTGCATGGGTTGATGCTCAACCACTGAGCCACCGGCTGAACTAAAACTCTAAATTAAAAAAGAAAAAAAAGGAATAAAGTATGACCTAGGTTCTCAGGTGGTCCTCTTAGTAATAATCTATGATGTTTGTAAGAAAATGATAGTACTTTGTACTTCAATGTATACATGGGTGCTTGGAAGGTACTCTCTTAGGTAGTTTGAAAAGTTTTCCTAAAACTTGAGCAAAGCCTCTCAGCACATATTAACACATAGTTCCAAATTAGTGAAAGTCCAGCCTTAGGCAATGTTGCTCAGTGGTTAGAGTGTTGGCCCACACACCCAAGGGTCTCGGGTTTGATTTCTGGTCAAGACCATGTACCCAGGTTTCAGGTTCGATCCCTGGCACTGGCCGGGGCATGTGCAACAGGCAACCAATCGATGTGTCTCTCTTACATCGATGTTTCTTTTTTCTCTCCCCCTCCCTCCATCCCTTCTACTCTCTCTAAAAATCAATAGAGAAAATATCCTCAGGTGAGAATTGACAAAAAAGAATCCAAATAAAATGAAGCTTTTATTTTCTAGAAAAATAAAGTATGTCTTATATTATAAATAAGATTTTATTGTATTAACTAGATTAATAATAAGTATAGTAAGAATAAATTAACAAAAGGAAATAGGTATTCCAACTCCAAATATTCATTATAAGATAAACCTCATTAATTTAGCCTAATTATTCTGCAATTCTTAGTCATTTAAAATATATTTTATTTTATTTATTTATTTATTTTTCATGAGAGGGACACATTGATTGGTTGCCTCCCGGGGACCAACTGCAACCGACTGGAATTGAACCCACAACTCTTTGGTCCACGGGCCAATGCTCTAACCATTGAGCCAAACCAGCCAGGGCTAAAGTATATTTTAGAAGATATTCAAATGAGACCAAAAATAAAAACAACAAAACCTCTGTTTAAAGTGTTAATAAAACATTAAAACAGGAATGTGAAACATCCCAAAAATGATATGCCAAGATTTTTATATTCTGAGAAGGAAAGAAATTCAGGGGACCCAGAAATAACTAAGAAATAAGAAGCAGTTTATATATAGGTGATGGTAAGTATGAAAATAACCAGCCAAAGAACATCATTAAATGTTTCATGAGCATATCAATTAATAAGTACTCAAGAAATATATAGTTTGAATTCTAATATCTCTTTAAAGTTAGGGAGATACTTGAGGGGATGAAAAATTAAGTATTTACCCATCTCTGCTCTTTAAGAAAGTCAGGAAAACATTTAAATGTATTGAACTTCTATTAATTGCCATTCAATTGCATTTTACCCTAATCCACAACAGTCCCATTAAGCAGGCATTATTAGCCTTCACTCAAAGAATAAATGAAGGCATTAAAAAGTTAATTTGTCCAGCCCTGGCCAGTTTGGCTCAGGGGTTGGAGCATCAGCATGCGGACCAGAGTCCCAGGTTCGGTTCCCGCTAGGAGCACGTACCAAAAAAAAAAAAGTTAATTTGTCCAAAGCAGCAGTGGTGTGAATTAAGATCTGACTTCCAAGCCAATTACCCTTTCCACTATACCAGCATTTATAGACTTTTAAAAACGGCAAAACACTTTCTTTCAATGAAATCTTATGTAAAACACCATCTGAAATATTTTAAATGAAGACTTGACAGAACTTTGTGACCAATGAAAACTGGAGGATAATGGAGGAAAGAAGTTGACTCCAAGGCTCAGAAGACTTTAAAAATCAAGATCTATACAAGCAATAAAAAGAAATTTGGTAAGGGAAGGTTAAGTTTGTAGAAGAAAATGATGTCTGCTTCAGAACTGTGAAGTTTAGTTTGCATTCAAACAGAAAGTTGAATTAGAGCTCAAGACATAACCACTTTTTTTTTTTAAAGAGAGAGAGAAACATCAGTGTGAAAGATACATTGATTGGCCACCTCCTGCACGCCCCCTACTGGGGATTGAGCCCGCAACCTGGGCATGTGCCTTGACCAGGAATTGAACTGGGACCTCTCAATCCATGAGACAATGCTCGATCCACTGAGCATTGGACAAGAGATAACAACTTTTAATTTGTACATGAAATATGTGATTCTTGTGCTGCCACCCACACAACCCCAACCTGGGCTGGGGACAAACTGCAAC